AGTAGTAGTAGTAGTAGTAGTAGTAGTAGTCGTCGTCGTCGTCGTCGTCGTCGTAGTAGTAGTAGTAGTAGTAGTAGTCGTAGTAGTAGTAGTAGTAGTAGTAGTAGTAGTAGTAGAAGTAGTAGTAGTAGTAGTAGTAGGCGTAGTCGTAGTCGTAGTCGTAGTAGTAGTCGTAGGCGTAGGCGTAGGCGCAGTTGCAGTCGCAGTTGTACTCGTAGCCATAATCGAAGTCGGAGTCGTAGTCGTAGTTCCCTCAATATGCGCCCGCCAGGACCTCGGGTTTTGTTTCCGCGCGTGTTGTCGGATGCATTGGTGTCAGCAGTTGTTACGCCTGGGTAAGGAGTGCCCCAAAGTGGTGCCACCCACTCGTCGAGTTTACCTTGATCGTATCGATCGGGGCCTTCTCCCCAAGGCTTACAGCAAAGCCGGATTGGCAAGCAGGGCTCACAGAAGGGCCCTCCTGAGTTTTGTTTTCGGACTTCGTCCTGGGACTCCTGACTCCTGTCTCCTCCTCCCCTCCTTTTCCTCCTCCTCCTCCTCCCCCTCCTCCCTCCTCCCTCGTCTCCCTTCTCAATCTGCTTTCTTCCCCTCCGATCCTCCCCTTTCCCTGAGCCTTTTACGCTCGTTTTTTGGTTTTTGTTGTCTCTGTCTCTCTCTCTCTCGGGCCTTTCTTTTTGCCATCCTCGACTTGTGCCTGTTCCTGGTCCTGGGCGTTGTGCCCTTCTGTTCTACGGGCACCTGGTGGTCTTGTTTCTCAGTTGGCCCTGTTTTGGGCCGCGGGCTGGGGCTGCAATGGCTTCGCTCCCCTGGCTGTTTTCAAATAAAGGAGCTTTCGCTGACTTCATGACCTGACCTGACCTGGCCCCCTCCCGTGTCGCCATCCCAAGGCCCCCGACGTCATGATTCTTTTCCCAGTCCTTCCGTGTTGGGTTCTCGTTTTGAATACAGCGCTATGGTATCCACTCCTCCTTCTCCTTCTCCTCCCCCCTCCTCCTGCCTCCTCCCGCGATGCTTTGGGTGGCTATGAACTGCGCAATTGTCGCCACTTTCGTGAACTCCTGTGAGGTCCAGCGGAGTAGAGGTGTACGCGCATCCAGCCGAGACCTCGCGGCTCCTTGGGTGGCTGCGAATTGCGCAACTGTCGCCACTTTCGTGAACTCCTGGGAGGTCCAGCGGAATGGAGGTGTACGCGCATCCAGCCGAGACCTCGCGGCTGCCTGGGTGGCCGTGAAATGCGCAAGCGTCGCCTATCTCGTGGG